CGAGCCCAAAGCCCTCACTGTGTGGCTGCAGGAGCCTCTCACACTGTCTGCACTTGAACTGCAAGTTTTAGCTGTGCAAGTCTCAGCCCTGGAGCAGCTGTGGAACGGGGAGCTGCTGACTCTTTTCTCAGGGACAGTTAGCAAACCCATGGCACATACACGGTGGGCACTTCGTAAAAAGTGTGGCTAGTTCTTACCAAAGGATTAGGTTCATTCCCATTTTCCAGACATGAAAACTGAGACCCAGAGAACCTAAGAGTTATTGCCCAGCCAGGAGTCACCATGATCCATTCACGCGCCACGTCTTTACCCAGCATGTGCTGGTTGCTGTCTGGCAGCAAAGCAGCCAGGGAGAAAACAGAATTCCCGCTTTTGGGGAGCTGACACTCCAGTGGGAAGGATGGCTGGTAAGCAGAAATAAGAAAATGTATGGAAGCTCCTCAAAAAGTTAAACATAGAGCTACCCTGCGACCCAGCAATTCCACTCCTGGGTATCTGCCCAACAGAACCGAAGACAGGAACTCGAACAAATCCTTGTGCATGAATGTTTATAGCAGCGCGATTCCCAGTAGCCGACAGATGGAAACAGCCCAAATGGCCATCGGTGGACGAGCAGATAAACAGACTCCACTCGATGGAATATGACTGAGCCATGAAAAGGCATGAAGCTCTGACACCTACAACATGGATGAACCCAGCAAACCGGAAGCTGAGTGAGAGACGCCAGACACAAAAGGCCACATAGCGTGTGACTCCATTGATATGAAATGTCCGGAACAGGCAAATTCACGGAGACCGGAACCAGATTAGTGACTGTGAGGGGCTGGGGGAGGGGAGTGGGGAGTGACTGCTGATGAGGACAAGGTTTCCTTTTAGAGGATGGAATGTTCTGGAACTAGCTAGAAGTGGTAGTTGCACGATATTGTGAATGTACTAAAAACCCACCAAATGTATGCTTTAAAATGGTGAATTTGATGGGATGTGAATTTTATCTCAATTAAAAAGAAGAAAAGTGGGGGGAGGGGGGCAAGGGCAACATATGTAACCTAAACATCTGTACCCCAATAATATGCTGAAATAAACAAACAGACAAACAAAAAAACAAAAACAAAAAGAAGAAAAGTAAAAGTCAGAGTTTGTTAAATAGGGGAGAAAAATCAAGTAGAGCTAGGAGACGAGGGTGGGCGTGCACGCGGAAAAATCTTACTGCACACGGCTGGCATGGGCTCAGGGCTACTACCTGAGTTGTCCTGAGTGTGGCACGCAACCTTCCTGTTTTCTTTTTCTTCCTTCCTTCCTTCCTTTCTTTCTTTCTTTCCTTCCTTCCTTCCTTCCTTCCTTCCTTCCTTCCTTCCAGACAGAGGCTCACTCTGTCGCCTGGGCTAGAGTGCAGTGGTGTCACTGCAAACTCCTGGGCTCAAGTGATCCTCCTGCCTCAGCCTCCTGAGTAGCTGGGACTACAGGTGCCACCACGTCTGACTAATTTTTGTATCTTTTGTAGAAATGAGGTCTTGCTCTTGCTCAGACTGGTCTTGACCTCCTGGCCTCAAATGATCCTCCCACCTCGGCCTCCCAAAGTGCCAGGATTATAGGCGTAAGCCACGGTGTCCAGCCCTGTTTTCTGAAGATGAAAAAACTTAGACATGGTGAGCTGGCCTTATGAAGTCTTGTTGCTCATAAGACGTGGACACTGGGGCCAGGCACTGTGGCTCACACCTGTAATCCCAGCCCTTTGGGAGGCTGAGGTGGGAGGATCGTTTGAGCCCAGGAGTTTGAGACCAGCCTTGGCAACACAGCCAGACCTTGCCGCTGCAAAAAAA